CAATGGGTCTCTCAGTGTGTTCGCACAACACACACAACTAGTTGGCACATGTGAGCTATACTCAAGCATATGAGCCGACAAAAGCCGACAAAATGAGCGGATGAAAGCAGATAAAATGCGGGGTGTGGTGTCTTCCGTTCAGACTGGCCGATTGCACCCCTCCCCCCACCCAACCCGTCCAATTTCATGCTTCGTCTTCCTCTCTCCGTCTCTCACGCGCAGAAACACTCGTTCCAAACAGATAATAGTATGGTGGTTAAAATACGGCAAATTCCCAAGGGATCGAATGGAGATGGCGTGGGTGAGGAAGGCATGGTTTGAGATAGGTAATCTATACGCTTGCCAGCGGATGGTTACGCAATTCAGAACGTTTGGGTCATGTATAGGATAGTAACATGTGGAGGAGGTTGTAACTTTTTCCATGTACATATGTATATATATATAGGCAATTAAATGTAACTATCTATCAGCACTTTGAATAACTTGAACTGCTGAAATCAGATCCTTCATTTTTATCACCTTGATAGTTTGGAACGAAACTGATCAATTAAACAGCACAATTTGGACTTCTATATTGCATTATCGTGAGCAATCAGTATTGCAGCCCGATTCTGGACTTGTATAAACTCGTGTACATATTAACTGACACAGCTATTTGTAAAACATGTTCCAATTTCTGAAGCAACAAATACGACTATTCATTTTGGTTATCACACTTTCGAATCAATTGTCAGCCACCTCAGTTAGTTCAGTGCACGACGAAGACAGTCCGCTGTTCGGTCCACTGGCGACCCCAGCCAGTGACGAACGAAATCAGGACAACATTGTGGTGCATCTACTCTCGGCAGTCAGAGGCAATCCGAAATCGTTGTCCCGGACCGAATTGAACAAATTGCGTCAGAACACTCCATCGGTGGCCGAGAATTTTATTCGGCTGATTAATCAAGAGCGATTGCTAGATGACGTGATTGGCGGAAAGCTAGACAAACAGACCTTTGATGATTTGACGAGATCGTTGGTTTTTGTGGATACAGGTAACTTTGGTTTCGTCAAAACCTCCTTCATCATGTTACCGGTTTCAGTGTATAGTTGAAATACTCTCGAAAGATATTTACATAGAAATAGTATCATACATGATATTTTGTTTTTATGATTTTTTTATAACTTTATGCTTCCTCAATTCATTCAGCTCGAGTGACTTCTCCGGTCAATGGAGTTTGGGGTGCAGTACATAACTTACTCAAAATCTACCTGATTTGCGTAGTTCAGGTGAACAAAATACCCCAAAGCGGTTGTTCCTAACCAACGACAAAGATAACCTTCTGAGAAGAAATAAATAACACCTTTAAACCGGGAAGATATTGCCCAGCTTCGAATGATCAGATGGTTTGTGCTCAAGACACGAGCATGTCAAAATATCGGTCCACTGATGATCGCCGTCTTCAAAACGGTATAGTTGAATTCGGATATCTGGGTTGGTGTCTTTTTGGTCTTAGGTTGAACTTGCTTTTTCGGACATTAATTTATAAAGCCAATCTAATCCTAGAGCGGGGTAGGATGATGGTTCATCTTAAATACTCCCAATGTACTGCATTCATTCTGAACAGATAATAAACCGGTGATGGAATAGAAATATTAGACTTCGTCAGGTTTCAAAAGATTTAGCAGTCCAGTGTCCTTTATTGATTATTTCATAAAAAATGTATCCGTATCTAAACCGAGAGCGATGTTGACCGTGAAGTTAGAGATGATAGCGGCAACCACGGTCGGCAGGGGGGTACGTCAAAACGCGTGAGCTACCATCCACCCACACACACCAATTACACCTCCCCCATTTCACACCTCCATTTAGATAATGAATTCCAACTTGTGTTCTTGATAGTCGTCAGTATAATTTAATCAGCCTATTAACTTCCTGTCTTCGCATGTTCATGTGTTTTAACTTTCCCTCTCCGCCTTATACCAACGGAAACACACACACGCGCACACGTTAACACGTCATTCTCACCCATGTGCGAACAATTTTCCACTGATCTGTATTCCAATTAGGAGAAAAAGGTGTTGGTGAACTAGTTACACTGTTTCGTGAACAAGTATGAATCTCGCCCTTAAATCTATTTGTCACCATACACCATGAACATAAATAACGTCCAATTGTAGTTCGCATGAAGTAACTGATGATATGCGAAAGAAATGTTGCTGCAGCAGACATTTTGCATAATGCTACTGGCCTTTTCAAATTATGCCTTGATCAACTTCTTTACCGAGAGCCTACAAGCTTACACACCGCGAACGGACTTTATTAGAATTGACAGAGGCGGAAAGCAGTAAGTGCCGCAAGATAAAATATGTTAATTAAGATGTAAGCGGAGTTGCCCAAACCATAATCAAAGTGAAAGAACAGGATGTTTTAAAGTCCGATCAACTGGATAAACACTTAGCAAACAGAAAGGAGTTACAAGCAGCTTTGAATGTGCAAACGATTCAGAATTCAAACCGGCAATGCAACTGTCTATTGACTTTCGATTATAGCACCTGATGCGTTGCCTGCCCTGGTGACATTCTATTTACAATTACTGTTGCACAAAAAAATAAAAAGTCGGATGGAGAATACAAGTCACTGTTTTTATGGCGGGTAGAGAGACAGTTCAATATGAAATTCACGTGATGCTAATATGGGTATAGACGATAAATAATAAATGGGCCATATGACAAACCTTGGTGTTAACTTCTTTTTCATTGAACCAGTACTGTTTCGCTAAACAGTTTATAGGCTTATTAGTAATTTTCTTGCACATATTAGGTAGATATCCTAAACTATATATTTTGAAAAATGCTCCCTGTTACGTACGTCAGTTCACTGTCTGTACAGTTCTTGCGTTGGGATACCACCACCGCTCCTGAATTTTCAAATGCTTTACGGCAGTTGTTGACCATCCGCAAACCACTTGCCAAAAAATCGTCATTATCTGTTCCCGCTACTTGATCTCCACACAGAATCCTCGATTTCTCAATAAACTATACCCTTGCGAAGAGCTGCACTTGAGCTTCGCTGCTGTTATAGCCCAGCATCAGTTCACATTTAGCGGTTCATTCGCTCCTTAAAACCCTGAACCCCCGCGTGAAAATCATCTTGCTTATCATTATGCAAATCAGCTTACATCAGGAACGACGCGCCTCATTGTTAATATGCCTTCTTCAGTTAGTCATGGGAGACGCCATAAAGAGTCCAAATCCTCCTGTTAGCTTAGGTCTTTCTCACGGGTTCATTTAAGCCTCGTAGATCAGGTGGTAGAGCGTGCGCTGATAAAAAGCTTGGGCAGCATTCATGCGTCGTTTCGAATCCCACCTAGGCTACTGAACTTTATACTATTTCAAAATATAATTTACTTGTTTCCAATCTAACTTGACTGCATCCTTTGTGGCACTTATGGTAAACTCGCTTATGTCCATTATGAGTTTCTCCCTCATTGTTTCATAGCTCAGTGCAGTATGTCCCGGACCGAACCGTCGCAAACATGCCTGATTTTTCGCAACCCGATCGCTTTCCCGGTCGAACCTGTAACAGTGGCACATCTGTCAGCTTTCATTGAACCTCGAGCTTCCCTGTGTGACATTCAGCTGAAATTGCACTTTCTTAATCCTCTGGAGCACCAGTTCACTGAAGATGTCTTTCATTTGCCTATGACTTCCGCAAAAGATCTCGGCCGATTTGCCCAGTTGGCGAATACCAGACAAGAGGTGACATGGGATATCACAGCAGCTGTGGCCGATTTGAAATCACGACTAGATCAGGCCGCCTACCCAGTCATAATGACATTGGAATGTACTGGGGCCTCCAAGGACACCTCCTGGGATGTATTCTCTAATACCGCAGATATACTAACCCCGGATAGACAAGCAGTGATTGAACTATTGACGGCGAAAACTAACCAGGCCAAATCGGTATACAGTCATCGTCGTTTAAGTGGACGATCGCTTGGATCCAATGGAGGACGAAGTAACTTGTGTCCCAGTTTCATGGATGGAGAGCGTCACATGACGTCCTGTTGTTTGTTTGAGTACACCCTAAACAAACAACAAATGGATGCGAATCCAAAGTTGCGATTCATCATCTTCCCGCAGCATCTACCTCTAAATCTTTGTCACGGTAGATGCGTGGGTGAGTTTCACAGAATACAGAGTTTTTATTTGTGACTAAAAGAACATTTGATTTGTAATAATTAAACTGCTCAACCCTAGCAGATAAGCAAGGGGAAAAGGGAGTCCGATTAAAATAAATTATTTTACAGAAAAACGCTGATACGGATTATTCATCAGCTGCTGAGATTGTTTTAATATAGAACCTGTCATTTGTATATGATGAAAAACAGTAATTTGACTACAAGTTAGGTAGTTTCCCAAAGAACTTCATCATGACACTGTCCCAAATTTGCAAGTTTATCATAATTGCCGAATGTTGGATTATTCAACGTGCATCCCATCAACTAAAGATTCTTCAAGTCAAATCAATGCGCACAACATTGTAATGCAAGGCTTGCATTCAATCAACTCAGCCCAAAAGAAGACTGCAGTATTTCCGGTGATCACATAGACCTTCCCAACAGTTGTTTTACCCTTGGGATAAATTTTGTACTGATTCGCAAGAAGCTATTTGTCAACAACTAAGCCTGAGTTTTATCCATTCCAAACGCCAACCACTGGCGGATACATTTAACCAGTGTGATATATCGTTACTTCATTGCTTCAGCGAGTCTATAGGTGTGAGCACTATTGACGATGCTCCGTGAGTCTGTAACCGGGCTAAACTGCACGTAGGTTTCCTTTGATCTAAAACTGATCTTCACTCGCATAAGTTTTCCCATCTGCATTCACCAAGTTATATCTCATACTGAGGACGGTTTAATCTCATTAACTTAGTTACCTCAAGTAACGGTATCTTTCACTGAAGCATCTTATTTTCTTGTTTTAGCAACCCAAAATAACTAGCTGATCCTACAGCACCAGGTATTCCCTATTACTGATCGGTTCGGGGGTTAGTCTTGTCCAAGACACTGCCGTAGACCCGTTAGTAGACCGATTTAACACTCACATTTCATCACAGCTTCCGAATTCCCGTTTAGAGGAATCGGTCAAATAAAAAATAAACCATGCGCAAACGGGATTCATGTCTAAAATGTTTTCGTAAATGAAGTTTAGTTATAATATAAAAATCAGTATCGTCTAAATTGGTAGTCAAATGGTCTGACCGAAGTTAATTGACAGAAATATTGACTGAAGTTTCACATCGGTAGAATCTTCAACTCATTCTCCCAAAATAGCCTTTTATCTGTCTATATCTTTCCTGTCAAACGTTCATTTTCTGAATAAGTGTTACAACAATTAGCATGCGGCTACACTCATAATCCGTGGAACCGTACTCCTGCTACTTTCCAAACTAGCTGAGTTTTCCTAATCAGCCATGAATTTAGCGTTGGTTTCATCACAGGATTCAAAAATACTCCAGTTACTCATGCGGTATTCCCTCACCCTCCCCAATCCAAGATATACAACCGCCCGTCAATCAACGATAAGGTAGTTTGAAACGCGGTAGTTGCCGATCCAGTTTAACGACTGATAGCAAGGTGTTTACTGAAACCATTTTGTCGAACCGGGCTTTTGACAACACTTGGTAACATGAAGTAACGAGTTCTGCGCTCTCCAACGCGTGTCTCTGTCTCTGATACAGACCGTGACTACTGGAAAGCTGATAGCTAAAACCACTCCCACCAGGTGCTCTGACCGACTGCTATTTTACTTACGGAGTGTGAAACAAATATCGACATAATACAAGAGACCGCCGTGAGATTTTATTGACTGCATCAATTTACTCTTCAATTCAAGGTGTTTCTGTATCATTTTTAGAAGACTAGATACAATATGATCGATATATTCCAGATTACAGTTCACCGGCTTGAAAGCAAGTGGTTTATGTAGCCATTGGAATGCAAAGAAAGCTTAAATTGAGCTCGAAGCTGATTGGCTTATTTGCATTGCGTCTGGACAAAAACCCTTTTTCTGTGGACGCGCTAATGATGTCCCGACCATCAATCAAACAAATGCTTGCTGTTGTGCTCAAAAAGATGCCACCCACTTGGTAACAAGTTATCCTGAATTGATAAAAAGACTTGGTTCGCTGACAAAATAATAATGTTTACAACTGATGTCGATCTTTACACAATGCAGTGATTTCGATACATTTCTTTCGACGCTTCTACTTTGTAATAAGCTACTTTGGTCACGTGACTGTGCCATCAACTACGTGACTTAGTTATCACACTTTGCTCAGTAGTTATCCTCGTCACGGGTTTTATGTGCACGTAATTAAGTTTAAAACATTCATTTGGCAATTAGCACATGTCCCAATTACTCACTCAGACACACGTAATCTACCGTACTGTAAAAGGTTATTCCAAATTGTAAAACTACAAATCGAGAACAAAGCGGTCCAAATATGGAAAGGAGTTCATGAATGACTTTTATAAATTAGATGGTTTACATTAACATACTTGCATCATTATCTATTCTGAACGCAGCTACAGTGCAGAGAGTTAACAAACTCTCATTACCGGTTCACATGTTAAAGTTTGGAAACAATAACATCTCACTTAAGTTATTTCTCTCTGAATGCATACGGCATTTCTTAGCTGATTGAGCGAAAACACATGACGTTTGAAACTGCGGTCCTTCGATTGGTCATGATAATATTCAGCTTAAATCCATGGTAGAACACACAGATGATTGCGTGATCAAAGTTAAATAAAGTATATGAGGGAAGAACACAGATAAACTTTATACGTGTTAGCGCATTCTTCAGAGAGGGAGAGAGAATCATCACCACCGTACATCGCATTTGTATTTATGGTCCGCGAGATCAGTTTCTCCGTTATTGTTATGCCTTCCCTTTTCACATTACCTCACGTCCATATCTCTACCATTTCCACAGGAGCACCTACTGACTGGCGCAATTCGCATGTCATGCTACTGAATCGTTATTTCGAGGGTTTACCGCCCGAGGAACGTGAAGTGCTTTACGACTCAATGCCCTGTTGTGCAGCCAATCAGACCGCTCCGTTCACGATTGTTTACAAGAATCAAAACAATCAACTTACTACGGAAACTCTACCAAACGCCAAGAAAATCAGTTGTGCCTGTGGGTAGTGTTGGGTGTTGGGGTACATTGGTGTATGTACAATTTCCGTTGCTTACATAATCGCATTCTGTTCGAACAGATATTCGATTGCTTCTATGTCCACGTCTGGGGTCATGTGGGTAAAACGAAATCGGTCATCGGAGCAGAATTGACATGTGCCATACATTTCGTGTGTTTGCATTCGCCACTCAACCGCACCAATCTATTAACGCCATACCATACGGGATAGCAGTGCAAATTATAGTATGTTTGAGGGTACTCACACACACATTTACTCCAACTCACTCCGCTAGCGTTTTACTCCTGCGACAGCTTCAGTACTGGTAGCTGTGAGCCCTATGTCTGATCGGCAAAGACCGTACTTGTTATTACCATCCTATAGAACTCTTTAAATGGTGTGAATATATCTAATTGATTAGCTCTGGTGTACACCGGGATTCAGAGACCAGGGCCTGGTTATTGCTACGGTCACTTAAAATCACTCCATTAATTGGGTTATCGGTTTCTACTATTGACGGGGTGCGTAACAATGACATCTAATATTCACATCTACTATTTACGGAAGGGAAAAGCATTTGACCATCTGTTAACTCCAATCGAAAGCCTTACACCAAGTCAGGTTACGAGTAGACTTTCCACGGACCTACTTAGCTGGATTGACAATTCACATTTGACCCACAGTTACTTGCGAGTAGTGTTGCGGGATCATCGATAGGGTGGTCACTTCAAATCAAAATCAATTATCCCACATCAATACTAACAATTAACTGTGAGTTTCAATAACACCTGGAAAAATCACTGATCACAAGAAATTGTGTTCAAAATTCGCTTCAACATTCATCAAATAGCTAGGAAGGAAAGAGCATTTCCGGTGTTTGGTGAAAGTTAAATTAGCTGAAATAGCATCCCTGGGGTGCGTAGAATTATGTGATGAAAAACGAAGAAAAAGTAAAAATTTAAAATGAGGATTAATCTGGATTTTGCACTGGTCAAGTGATTTATTAAATAAAATAATGTAGGCAGAGTTCACTAGGGGTGGATGTGAGGTTGACGTGAATCGGAATCACCGAAGTAATTTTAGCCCCAGACTACTTTTGGGCTTCGTGATATCTCATCAGTGTTCACAGATCAGTACCATTTAAGGGCTGTCAGAGTAGTAGTGTCCTGAAAAGAACGAAAGCACACAGTTCGAAAGTCATTGCGTCCACTGGAATTAAAAGCGATTGGTAAAAATCGGTAACGCCGTGAGGAACTTGCTCGAGTAATACAGGAAAATGCCAGTGAACAGATAGAGTAGGTGGACCAATGACAGCGTTCGTTTAGGCTGACTTCAGAAACTTATCATAGTAACGGCTATTCAACTGTGCACAACTCACCCGCATCCTCGGGTACCTGAACAGTTCAGTGAAAACAGGCATTAAACAGAAGGATAAAACACAATAAGGAATAAACAAACAACAGAATGTTACATCCTTCCACGATTCCGGAAAACCCATTAATCCAGCACCTCGGTCATAAATTCTCAAGTTGAGAAGGTGTTAACAGTGCGGGAATTGCCTTCTTAGGGGAGGAATTTGGTTTAACAGAATCAAACATATAATTGGAAACGGAGCAGTCACGTTCTCATAAAGAAAAATCCGGATTGGCAGTCAAACAGTTGAAAGATTTGTTCTTTTATTGTATATTCACAAAATTAATCAATTATTCTGCATCTGCTCCAAGAAGTCAAGAGAAACCAAAGACTTTCATAGGGCACACCAAACTTCTGCCCAATTCCAATGCTACTATCCTAAATTCCTCTTTCGGCGAAACATATTGACATAGTGAGAAATATCATTTTTCATCCGGGACCGTCAATTTATCTGTCTCTGGTTGTA